TAATTTGTAACTTTTCACGGAATTTTTTGAGTCCTCGGAATATTTCCCAAAAGGGGTGATAGTAATATTTGTGAATGGGTCACTCACTATAAGCAGAATATAAATTCCGTTTAAATGCAAATGCCTCATAGGGTAATTTTTATCTTCTCAAATGTAGCATAAAGAAATATCACGTCTCCAATGATATAATCAACATTTTTTGGGGAATATTCCTTGTTATAATTTGTTTTCTCTTAAAAAAAACATCATAAGGGGGTTGGTGTAATATTGGAACAAATGTGGGGTGTTTTGGTAATTATGGAAATACAGGGGTGTATTTCGTAATTTAGCATGAGTTAGAGATAAGTGATGCAAATCATTACATACTTATTAAAAAAATCTAACATTATCTGTTAGACATAAATCCGAATGATCCAAGTATTGTTTTTGGCCCCCCCTCACAACTTTTGCACCACTTCTTTATTATAGCTTTATTGAAAAATCAAATCAAAAAATTTCTGCCCTCAATTTTTAAAAATAATTAAATAATGTGAAAATTGAAACTTTAAATTAATTATATTAGACAATATAATGCAGTGAAAAGGTGGTCCATATAATACTTATAATGATGCCAATATTCACACACAAAGTGTTTTATTTTTGGGGTAATATATATATACATATATATATATATAAAAGTGAACCTAGTCCACATAATTAAAATCTCGAAACTTAAGTCTATGTGGGACAGACAGTTATTTGTTAGGAAGACAAGAAAAATTAATACCACATGTGTTATTTATTTATTTTCTTGGTGGGGCTACCCTTTTGGAATATATATATATATATATATATATATATATATATATATATATATATATATATATATATATATATATATATATAGAGAGAGAGAGAGAGAGAGAGAGAGAGAGAGAGAGAGAGAGAGAGAGAGAGAGAGAGATTTTTATGTTTTAGAATATTGAAATGTTAAATTTCGTTTTAATTTATTAGTAATAATGTTTTGACTTTGAACGTAATTTTTACCATTTTCTAGTTTGATTTTGGTAAAATTCAAAACTCGGAAATTGTGGTCGTTTGAGTTAGCTTTCTACTGCAACATGAATTAGCTGGATTGGATACCTGGTGATAAAGTTATGCATGAATGAATTACATTTTAATTTTTTTGGATAACTCACAATGTCAAAGTAGTGGGCAGTGTTCGTTCATTCATTCATATTTTTATCACCCGATATCCAATCTTGGTAATTTAAGTTGAATTAGAAAGCTAATTCAAAGAATTATAAATTCCGTGTTTGGAGTATAGACAAATTCAAACTCGAAAACGGTCAAAATTAACTAGAAACAATACAATCTCTTGTGCAGACAGATAAAGCTTCAATGTTGGATGAAGTAATAGAATACCTAAAACAACTTCAAGCACAAGTCCAAATGATGAGTAGGATGAACATTCCATCTATGATATTACCACTTCAAATGTCTATGATGGGTATGGGTATGGGTACTGGTATCGGTATGGGCATGGGTGGGCTCATGGACATCAATACAATTGGCTGTGCCGCAGCTATGCCGCCACCACCTGCCGCCGCCGCCGCCTTCATGCCTATGGCGGCCTCCTCGTGGGATATACAACAAGACGGCCGATTGCACCCTCCTCCGGTGATGTCCGATCCTTTATCTGCGTTCTTTGCCGGGCAATCACAAGTGAGTATTATTCAATTAAACGTAACATCGTTGAAAAATTGAATTCAGTAATTGTTCATTTTATATATTTTGAATATGGGAAAACACACTCTTCGTCCTTTAAGTTTACCTCAATTTTACATTTGGTCCTCCTTGTTCAAAAAAAAAAAAAAAAACAAAAAACAAATTTCACACTTTTGGTCATTTTCGTCAATTTTGCTGACGGACTAACGATAAATTGATTGAAATGACCAAAAATATTAAATTTTGAAATACGAGGCACTAATTGTTTTTCATTTTTTGTTTAAATGAAGGGAACCAAATGTCAAATTGAGGTAAACTTGAAGGACTAAAAGTTAATTTTCTTCTTATGCAGCCAATGACGATTGATGCTTACAGCAGGTTGGCAGCTTTCTACCAACAATTCCAACAAATTTCTGGTTCAAAGAATTGATTATTGGGAGAAAATTAAAACAAGTGTGCTATAAGACTTCAATTAAGAAGTTAATATTTGTAGGTTCTTTTTGTGTATGTGTTATTACAAGTGTTCAAATTTGTGTCTTCTTTTATCAATTTCAAAATTTTCTTTTATCACTTAGGGGATGATTTCTATGACATATAAATAACATTATTTATTTGTTTCGATTCCCCAAACGTATCGAAAAATGTAGAAACTAGAAACTTGTCTTTATATTGAAGATCCCCTGCATACTCGTATAAGCTAGACACAACAAAAATTAAAGATGAGTTTTGTTTATCAAATCGTCGCCCGGTCTATACATAAAACGGGACCAAATTTTCCACTCTGACGACTCGGTCAACTTGACCGAGTCAACCGTGCAGACTCGTTTTCTTGTTTCAAGTAGGTGGCAGCTGCGTAATTCTCGGAGGAATAAACGGATAGGCACGGACTTGACAAGTAGGGCAAAAGTGGTTGTCTTCAAGCAGCAGCCTTCTCACAATGCAATGTAAATGAAACGCATGATTGCACGAAGGGAGCCACGATACATAAGTCCCGATCATCGGGCCCCGCAAACAAATATTGCAGAGGGGCATAATCGTCATTCCCTCTTCGACATCCTCAACCCTAACCCTAGGCCTCATCCCCGATCTATGGTCAACAACATCTCCAACATTAGCCCTCGCCATAACTAGATTCAAACAAAAAAGTAGAAGATAATTATTAAACTTCCCCCGATCCACCGTCGCTTCCGGCCAAACGTAAAACGGGATCAAATTTTGCTCCCTGATGGCTCGGTTGTTGACTGAGTCAACTGACTCGTTTTCTTGCTGCACTGTGCAAACGTCAAGGTGGATAACTACAGGGATCAGTAATCGAGATTCGTTTTTAGGATCTTTGCCTATTTGAGAGGCGAAATCGCAAGTCTCGTGGACAAACGTACTAATTTCATCCTTGGTCATCCAATAATCTGCTAGCCGATGCTCTACCATCATCATAAAACCGTGTTCGTTACTATCGTCGTATACTTGGGCGTCGTATCTCTCCGAGTCCATAATCTGCTCTTGACCGTCGATTGTCTTGATGACGAAGCTCGTTCTGATCTCGAAGAGATAGGTTTTCTTTCCGCGGTGGATTTGGAATTTATACAATTTAGCTATTTCATCTTCTTCGTCGACCGAGAAACGATAACGATATTCGTACCCCGCAACTCCACGTGCAGCTACTCCAGCTACAGGTCGGCATCTGCGTACGGGCATTGTTCCTTAATCAATGAGCAGTGGCGGATCCAGGATTTTTGCCAAGGGGGTGCTAAATTGTAGAATAAAAAATTTAAATATCACTTTATAAAAATAGTGGACCAAAAATTTACAATTTAAAAATTTTAGGTGAATTGTGTAAATATTTAAAGAGAAAGAGGGTGAAAAATGTAAAGATTTGAATAAAAATCAACTTTTTAGAGGCTGGGGGTACAAACCCGGGACCAATTAACAAAAGAAGGAACATCTTTACCAACTCAACCAACTAATTTTCTTGTGAAATTATGTATAACGGTATTATTTGTTTTAAATCAAGGGTGTGCAACTGCACACCCTAGACCATGGCTAGATCCGCCACTGTCAATGAGAATAGCAAAATAATATCAGATCAATCGCAACACAGAGCCACAAATTAAAAAAAAATTAAAAAAATTATTACAATAATAAAAAGAAACATTCGAATAATACATAATAGTATAATCATACAATAACAATCTACGGGGCAGAAATAAATCGGTAGAAAATAAGAATTTATACCTCGGATTGCTGCAATACAA